TTGTATAAACTTGCAACTAATTATTTTCATGATCGAATAATATGTTTTTTATTTTATTCAAATCAATTAATGGTCTTATCTATACAATTTCAGGAAATAAAAAGCTATAATAACCATCACATCCCAAAGTCCAAGGTGACACCTTTGGATTGCTTGTTTTGTCTGACCAACAGCCAAAAACTCAATAAAAATTTAAGACCCTTATATCCAAGAAACTGGAACTAGCAAATATTATTATGGTATTTCTGCAATAAGCATGCTTAATAAATTACTTGATGAATAACTGTTGCTGATAAACGTTTTGTCCATTGACAAATCTTTTCAGCACTAAATCTGCACACCAGGACTCATAATATCTCTATAACAAAAGTTCTGAGAAGCATGTTAGCCCCCAACAAACACAAGAACACACTTAAATAATAATAAATAATAAACCAGCTGCAGCGATGTGACAAATGTACAATTGTAAAGTGAGGCGAGATATGGAATGTGATCCAACCTCTGTGGGGAAACAAATTAAATCTGCGAAGGAACTATCTGTTTCCCAGAAAGCCTCAGTGTTGCAGTAAATCTACCAAACACTTAAAAAAAAACCCAACCATTTGTTTAGATTTGTCAGCATTAAACATTAAGGCACACAGTCAAACATGTTTGTTACTGCAAACAGATCAGTGTGCTGAAACACACGCAATCATGCAAGGCTCAATTCCAAAAAGGTGCCAACAGCACACAATAACCTGAAACACAACTCAGCATACTGTATACTGTTACAGGCAATCTAACTTTCAATCCTTAGTTGTGCTGTGTTTATGGTACCTGACAGCCCCTGAAGTCATCATATCATAAATAAGATGCTTAACACATGTATCTCATCCCTGCATCTTATATCATTTACCTCAGGAGTGAGCATCAGGGACAAGCATAATAAATCTGTAATTATCATATTACCTTAACACCAAAATGCTGATGATACTTACTGAAGTATCACATGCAAATTAGTTGTGCTCACGGCATCGAGCCAAATGATTGTTAGTGTTTTTCCTGCCACAAAATATTTAAATATTCAACTACATGTTCATATTTGATGAAATTGAACGTATTATTCATTTAGAGATGACACCCGTCAACCACAACATGAGAGTTTTATGACGACTACAGACAAACGATCATTTAAAAGCTATAATTTAAGGTAACGTTCATCTGAAGTCTACAGACATGAATTCATGGAGACAAACTTAAGGAGGTATTTAAGATGGACATTATTTTGGTAAGACTGAACTTCAACAGCTTACAGGGGATATTTGCCCTGAATGGTGTGATTCTGTATTTACTTAGTGTAATGTGTCTCTTGCCTGTCCTACTGAGGGATGAGTGGACTACTCCAGAACAGTAGCCTTGGAGCTGAGAGAGGCTCAGTGAATTGCTCAAGGACATTTCAGCAGGCAGGATGCTTGTTGGACATGAAAGTTCAATTTCAGATCCACTATATTAAAGATAGTCCCTCCCTGCTGTCCTACATTTTCCAGGATAATGATTTTTAAAACCTCCATTAGTTTAAAATAAGGAGGAGATAAGTGTCCTCTCCCAGTGCTAGCACTCCCTCTACTCACTTCGTAGCAGCAGGCGTCCGAACAGGTTGTGATCCCTGGCTGTGGTGTTGCAATTCCAGCGGTGGTTGCGGAATTGGTGCTGGCACTCTGAGATCCAGTCCTTCATCCCCGCCCCGATGGCCTGCATCACTTTGGGGTGCTGGCGGCACAGCTGGCGCTGCTTGTTCATGAGACCAGGGATGTTGTCGCACATCACCTGGGAGCCCAGGCTGCCCATGTACCTGCACAGTGGATCATTAAATCCATTAAGGGAAAAGTCTAAATGGAAGGAAAATGTCAATGATCTCAAAGACTGAACCTAACAAAAAAGTGCAAATAACCCAACCCAGGTAGCTGCAATACACAAGAGACATTGAAGCTTGTGGAAAAGTTGGACACTTAACTACTGCAAAAATAGAAAAGGTGAGTAAAAGATAATGAAATAACTAGTCTAAAGGTGTCTTCTTTGGAAACTTGTGTTGAAATCACTCAAAACAAGTCCACACTCCCATGTACCTGCAGAACAAGGTGATGACTGACTGGCAGGGAATTTAAACACTTGCATGCTGCAGGGATTTTCTTCACCCATTAAAGTAAGGCCAGAGCAGCAAGAAAAGGGAATTGAGGAAAATTATCTGTTCAAACAGCATCTCAGTATAACAGGCAGTATGAAGTTTGGAATTTGGAAACAGAGCCTTTGCAAATATTCATTAAAGATTCAAGAGAAAGACAGCAAATAAAGATAAATTAAATTATATCAAATGACTTTTTCCTGGAGAGGTATCTCTCCAAATATTCAGTCTTCAACTTATCAAAAAATACAGTTATGAAAACCAGGAAGGGGCTAGTCACTCAATCTCTGGGAAATATCTAATTAAAAAGTAGTTATGAAACAGTTTAAAAGGTAATTCAGACATTTTATACATATTTAACAATAATCAAACGGAGGATGGAAAAAATACTCGAGATAATTCCACACAAATCACAAACTATTTTACTGCCCAGAGATTAATTTAGCAACGTTTAACCTATTGATTTTCCTTATAACATTACACAAGTTGAATGCATAATGCAATGGGCTTTTGCAACAGTATTTAAATAGTTATAAAAACACAGTACTTACCACCAGGATGCATCGATCTCGGCTGTCAGCCAGCAGATTGCTACAGACAAATAAAAACATATTCCACTTGGCAATAAGTTCATATTAACCAAACGTCGGTCCTTTATGGATCTGGACGGAGCATTTCCACGGATGAAAGAAAAGTATAAAACATTACATTAGTCAGAACTTGATGAATCTCCAAATCGAGCTTGGATTTTTTTAAAAATAGGCTATATCATCACAGGACAGTGGGAGGACGGAGGTGCGCGCGGAGAAGCCATGGCTGGAGCGGGTTCCGCACGGTGGCAAAGTGCTTGTGAGGAAAAAGTCAAGAGCGACTGTCTTAATAGTCCGGCAAATATTTTCAGTGGAGATGATGAGCTATCAGGTTTAAATTGCTTTACACAAGGGGCGGGCAGGGTTCCCGTCTCAGGAATGAGGTGAAGAAATGAGATGTCTGAGAGTATCTGTTCAGGCTGGTTTGACACCAGACAGGCTTGGATCGCGTCCAGACCGGAGCTCCGCAGCTCTGAGATGTGGTCCAAGCTGATGGGCTCTTCACTCAAACTGCACCGACGCGTTCAGGGAAGGAGCCCGCTGTGCGGTGGGGGATGGGGGGACGACTCATCCAGCACACGCAGCCATTCAGCCACAAGAAAAACGCACAAACTCCATTACATTCAATTTCAGCGGACACAATGGAGCAGATTATAAAGATGGACCGGTGTTTTTTGTGGGGTACTGTACGGAGCCCCGGAAGTCCCGAAAGGTGACTTTTGCATACATCACATCCCGCATCTTTAGGGCACAACACTTTTACACGGACGCAGAAACTCGCGTTTTATTTAGTAATATGATAAATAATTAAACAAACTATGAACTGAACCACATCACAGAAGAAACTGTACGCTCCCTATGCATTTTGCTTTATGTCTATGTATTCGGTAAATTTCATGTTCATTAAGACATATGCTACGCCAATGACGCACAGGTGCCAAATATTTCTGATCCCCAAAAGCCTGACGCGTTGTTATTTTACAGCCTTATACAAACCATCACTCAGTCCAACTAATAACTCAGGAATGATGGTTTAAAAAGATTCAGGCACTGATTCTCCCAAACCAGCACCTAAAAGGTAATGTGTCCATTTCATTGGATTATCTATCACAGCCTTTTGAAGTCTCTCGGGGAAATCTGTACCACTGTCATACGGCATTTCCTCCATCTTTGATCTGGCCCGGGTGTATCTGGAGGTCCGGAGTCCATGACCAGATGAGATTAATGGGCAAATTGGATTTTTCTCATGATCCCCGTGGAAGAAAACCATAAAACAACAAGGAGATTTAGAGAGCTCTCTCTGCTCTTCTCATCCCACTGAACGCGACTTTGTTGTTGCAGCAGCAGCAGCAGTAGTTGAAGCGAGTGTGTAATTTAAATCCAATTTAATTAAGAGTAATTCGTTCATTGCCATACAAAGTGACAATAATGCCGGTCACTGTCTTTCACTACACGTTTTATGAAGAGAAAATATCAACATCACCAGTCAGGTCGTGGCCTGAACAGACCTTCTTACCTGGAATGGAATTTGTGAAAGATGCTAAATCAAGTATTAACTGAGCTGAACTCACTTAAAGGACTGAGCTGATAACTTACAAACAATCAAGATTAACAATTTATGTTTCTGGGTTTTGAAAATCTTGGGTGGTCCTGGCTAAAATGATAAACGGTTTGACAAAGGCACAGCACTCTGATTTTAAAAAACAAATACAAAAAACAACATTTCATTGCTGTGGATTAAGTATGCAACTGGAGTCAAGAGACAATTAGCCTAGCTTAGCATAAAGACTAGAAGCAGGGGGAAACGGCTAGTCTGCCCATGTCCAATGTTAAAAAGCGCATCTACTAACTAACATCTCTACAGCTCACTAACTGACAAGTTGTATCTCGTTTGATTAATACATACCTCAACTGAAATACAATGACTGCTGGTTGTTTGCAAAACTCACTGTGACAAGAACATTGAGGGAAGTCACCGTCTCTGCAGCCCCCAACATCCCCATAAAAGGACAAAGTGTATATTTTCAGCTGCTTCCAGTCTACTCTAATCGCCTCTCAGCTCGAGCGCCATACTCAATGCACAGACATGAAGTTGATGACAATCTTTTTCTTCTCACTCTGGTTGAGTGGATCAAGTGAATTAAGCATATTTCCCAAAATGATGAAGTATTCCATGACATCCGTTACTTCAAGGCCTGAACATTATTAAAACATTCTTAACTTAAAACTAAATTTGACTAAGCAAGAAATTGTTCCTCATAAGAAACTTTAATTTTCACTTAAACCCTTAAAACATAAAAAGGTAAAAGAATTCAGAACTAAACTCAAAGACCAGTCAGACCAAAGTGGAAAACAAAAGCGTTACAACAACAAAAATTCTGTTTTATCCTAAAACATATCAGTCCTTCCATAATCCAATTTATCACCTACAGTCAAAACAAAATATTACAAGCTCATTAACTGACTGAACACAACCATTCAGGTGTTTAGCAGGCACTCCTGAACATCTGCTGGTAAACCTTGCCACTGGCAGCTTTGTAGAGGAGCAAGAGGAAGCTGGCGCCAAGAGCGCTTAACGCTACTCTGGTCAGGGACCGCATCCTCCAGTTGCTGTGGGAACCAGGTTGAAGAATATGACAGCGATCTCCGGCCTCGTCCATCTGAGGGAGGATGAGAAGAGATGAGACATGAGAAACACACACACACACACACACACATGCGGAAACAGACACCAAATCCTGTGGTTAGAGCAACGTGACCTTGTGCAGGAAGTAGAAGGATTGCAGGTCGTTTTAACTTAATCCAGTCTGGATTATGGCAGTTTACTGGTCAGACAGTTTCAGGCCAGTTAAAACCTCGACTGGGTGGGAAATATCGGCTCAGTTACTTTTGGGCGGGAATCAAACAGAGACCAGCTCATTTTGAGGATGAGGGCATGTCTGGTCCCATGGTACCACCACAGCATGACTCGCAAACCTGAGTCACCAAAACTTCCGGAGCCAAATCCTCAAGGACTCATCAGCCAAGCGGAGAGTCGGATCTTGGTCATGGTCAAGTCATGGAGGAATAACGCTGTTCATAAACTCTCAAGTCACAAGGTGACACAATGTCACACTAAATCCCAGGCATGTGAGAAAGTTTGAAGAGTTCGAGTTCAGCTTTCTTCCGGTAAATGCCTGACTTGGGAACTTGTGGTTTGGCAATGAATCCAGATTTCTAAAACTTCCTGAATTCTGACGTCACTAACTAAGTGCCAGGAAGGCGTTATTCCCACAGGACACACACGCAGCATGGATGCCAAATCAAAAGCTTTTACAGTGGAAACATCTTACAGTGATCACGTCTGTACGGGTAAAATCGATCACTAAGGGCGGATGATTATTATAACAAACAGTTTTTCTTCATTTCTCAGGAGGACCATCTAAATTACATTTGTATATTTATTGCATGACTATAAAGACTGAAATGGACAGCTTACTGTACAAATAAATTACTGTACTGTGTATAATTCAAATATACTAATACAGTACAGTAACTAGGCTATAGCCTCAAACAGTATTGTGCTGTTTACAAATACGGGCATGTCAGCTCTAGGCTACTAAGCCACAGCTTAGCGGTGGTTCCAGTGCATTGCTACATTTTTAAAGAGGCAAACTGGTAGGTGAGAAAACAAACATAAAATATTCAGATTTTTTAAATTTCATTTTCAATCGACGTCTCTGTCGATCCACATGGGGAGTAACACACAGCTAAATACACTCACTGAAAGCAGTGTATTTAGCAATTTACTGGCTGGTTTGGAACACAATGAACAAGTGGTTTATGGTGGCGAGATGTTTTGAAAGCTTTTGATAATTTGACTCTGGTTCACCGTTGGTATCCACTGTTAACTGGTGGCTACAGGGGGACCCGGGTGGCTTGGGAGTTTGGGGTGCTGACTCTGTAATCACAACGTCCCTGACATCTGGTTTAGGCCGGGGACCTTGCATGTCTTTACCTCACCTTCTCTCCCTTTATATGTCTCTCTTTCCTGTCTACTCTCCAGTAAAGACATAAAATACCACTGAATACTTTAAAATACTAGAAACAAAATGTGGATGTGCCCTCAACTTTTCAGAGCCACCAAATACATGATAATCAAAACATTGTAATTGGTAAAATCTTCAAATTAACTCGAAATTCACTTGGAAGTCACTGTAAAAGCCAGTCCAAGTAGAATTAGAATATTTTTGACTTTGGCGCCCCCCCTGGTGTATCTAAAAACACACTTTTTGCATCCAGCAATGCTACAGGTCTCTCTCTTTTTTAAAGATGCAAATACAGTGCGACACCAAAATACATTAAATTATAACAAGTTGCTGATTGTGATTAAACAGTACGTGGATTCTGACAGGCTGATGGCACAGAAGACCAGAAAGAACGCAGCACTTCATTGTAATTACTACCAAGACAAATTTGAATGGTGACATTTAAGTGTCTCCCAACCCACTAAATGACTATAATATCTCCACAGAAGGTTGATTTGATTGTTGATCAATACCCACATTTTCCAGCCTGTACTCCGTTTTGAATGAATCATCATTATTTCAACAGCTCAAAAGAAGCAGATGGCGCTACGACTCAGGCACCAGCAGCAAATCACATTTTTAAAGTCAATGATGTGAATGAAGAAACAGCATTATCAGGTGTTTGAGGGCAACCGGGCTCTGTGGTTCATTTGTCTGCGATCAGGGCTTTTTGCAGTGTTTTGGGGAATTACGGTATGCACTGTTGCATTAACTGACGTAGTCCTGCATGAGGGAAACCAGTGAGAGTTCACACCTGACAGGTCGTCACAGTCAAACTACCAACAGCCAACTAAGGCTGGTGCTCTGTACATTTACATTCCAAGAAGTAGATCAGGGGTTTTCAAACTACATCAGCCAAGTCATCACAAGACATTTTTATTTGGTTCAGTGACTCTTGGCTGTATTCTGCCACAGCACTTAATGTTACTGAACAGAGTTTGGAAAGCTTCCCAACAACCTGAAAAACACAAAACCTGTGCTTACTATCAGCTTATTAAACGTATCCTGTGGAATTTATGACATCTGTAAGACCTATACAGCAGTTTTTTTCCCCCATTGATGAGTCCTTGTTTAGTTTGTCTCGCACAATGGGCACACACTGGTGATTCAACACATGATCCCACCAACTGTTTCAGACTATTCCACTGATCAAGGTGGCGGTAACGCACAGAGATAAGCAGCAATGCACCAACAAAGACAAGGTAGAAGAAGACTGCTGGTTAGTAAACATAGATGTAAACAATGTAGGTTTCAAAACGTCCGAGAAATAAAAAGCAAAAATTTATAAATGAGACCTACATAGGGCACCTCTAAATTGGTCAGGCTGACATGTTGGCATCAAGCATTCATGGAGCAAAATTATAATTCACCAGGTGAATGTATATCCAATATTTACTCCCTTTTTAGATCTACACCAACTCCTGAGAATCTCTTCAGCTGTTAATGTTCCACTTGTTCACCAGCAAGTCACTAACATTGTCTGTAGGGCTGTCCCCGACTGAGGATTTACAACTGTTTAAAAACGATGTAATATTCTTTGTGTGATTCATTAATGGTGATAAACGATCCGAATGTCTCGTGAGGTGCGGAAAACTCAGCACAATACCAGCACAGCTGATCGTCTGCCAAACACACACACACTCTCTGAAGCGCACTGATGCCCCTACCTGGATTTGTGGCCTCCCTTTCTCATTACACAAACTCATTTGATCCAATGTAAGTACAAAAATATGGATTAGTGCAGCTCTAAATTACAGAATTTAACTCCAATCTTTGCATATCTCCACAATTACACATTTCTTTTGGCGCTCAGTTTACACATTCATCTTCATTTATTCATTTACGCTTTTATCCAAAGCCTCTGGAGCAACTAGGGGTTAAGTGTCTTGCTCAGGGACAAATTGGTAGATGGGTCACAGTGGGGAATTGAACCCGGGTCTCTCACACCAAAGGCAGGCATTATATCCATTGCGCCATCACCACCCTTCATTGTGAAGCTTTGCTGGAGGCTAAGTAATTTCAAACATCCTGTTGGTCACTGATAAAAGTTACTTTCTAAAAGAACAGTGCTGCTTTCCCATTTGTTGCAACGGTCCTGTTAAGTTTACCAGGTCTGACATATTTATCAAAGACAACACTAGATGGCAGCGGCAAGAACCAACCCGCATTCACATTCACTGGTTCTGGTTTAGATGTTGCTCTCTAATTTTTTCTTTAGGTTACTGTTTAAAAACGCAGAATCAAAACCCTCCAAAGTGTGTCACAGCTTGTGTAGTGACAAATGCAGTGATAACAGTGTTTGTGATTCAAGTGTGTGTTTCAAGAGACAAGCTTCTATCGATAAAGTTGGATTTTGTGTGTGTGTGTGTGTGTGTGGCCCTGCCTCCTCGGGCTGGGAGCCAGTGGATCCAAATGGGGTTCATTGCCCGTCAGATTCCTGCCTGACACAACAGAGAAACCCCATCCCCCACCAACGCTATCAAAACACACACACACAAATATCTACCTATACTATCAACATACTCACCTCGATCTGCTGCTAACCCACCTCCTTTGCTCACCCCGTACCCCCGCCCTTTACCCATCCCCTTTCTTCCCTCTTAAACTCCCTCACCCCGCCAACCTGCGTCCTCTCCTCGCTTCCCTCTGCCCCCACCCTTGCCTTCCCATCAGCCCCCTCGTCCCTCCTCCTCCTCATCGTCTGTGTGCTGACAGGTCAATGTCACAGTGGTGCTGACTTATGGGCTGTGAGGATTCTGCCCTGTCAGGAATGACTCTCTCCTCTTGGAATACAAATGCAAACACACACACACACACGGAGTCAGGTGCACACATGCAAGCACTCCCGCACATAACCTGTTGGAGCTCGCCAGATTTCATATACACCACCATCTAAAACACACACTATGTTCTGTTCATGTTGCTTTTAATCTCGACAGTAAGAGGAAAGCTCTCAAAATAGCAGTCTACAGGGTAAGGAATTTAGATTGACTGGCGTGAAGTATGAATGTGTTTCAGCCCCGATGATATCAGCTTATTACAGATATATCAGTGCCAATGTTGATAGATGTAAAAATTAATGATAGTAAATTCATATTTTACAAACATATTCACATTTTTTATTTGAAAATTACTAAGTTTGTGTTTTAGTTGGCCAGAAATCCATTTCTTTGTCCATGAGAGGTCTGCAGTAAAGGCTGTGGCATTGTGTGTGGTGGGTTGTGTAGAAGCTTTCTGTTTTGAAAGGGTCCATAGACATTTTGATCAATGAATTTCCATGACTTTAAGCCAAATTTTCATGACCCAAAAAAGAAAAAGAGCAGGGGTCTCATTTATAAACGGTGCGTACGAACAAAACAGGGCTGGAAACGTGCGTATGTCACTTCCCAAGCAAAGGTTGTGATCTATGAAAAACAAAACTGACGGGAGAATGTGCGGTCCTGTAAGTAAACTCTGAACCATGCGTACGCACATAAAGAGGAGAAATGAGAAACGGCGACCCACATGGCAGAAGGATGAAATGGTTTGAAATAAACAGGCCTACTATTCTGTAAAATAAATCGAAATATTACCTCTGAGTATTATAGGCTTAAAGCCCTTCTGAATAAACAAACACCCATTTGATTGACTTTCCCTGAAGTGCGCAAAAAAAACACACCCAATTTAAGATCATTTGCAGCGCATACAGAAAGATCCAGATTTAGGATAATAAACACAAACGGAGATATCTGTTTCTGCTAAAGAACACCTCAAATATGTTGTACAGTTTAATCAGGAATCATATTAATACTTGCATTCAGTGCAATTTATTCTCATAAATAAGGTGAACAGGAGGACAAATTACATTTAAATTGATGCTGTTTTCAATGCGTCAGTCGAGTTAATACGAGAGCATAGTTTCATGTTGCCTGTTGTTATCAGATGTTCGTTGCCTTTTCGAGCCGATGTGCACCAGCGTGTGGATGCGATGCGCTGCTTGAAAAACACATTATGGAAATACAACACTATTTTATGTCATTTACAAGAAGTCATATTTATTTTAACTCATCGGCAGCCTTCTTTAGCGACACAAGCGGAATGCGTTCACTATCTTTTCAAACGGGGGAATCCAAATTAGTAGGCTACCTGGGTCTTGCGTGTGAGTGTCCCCCTCTAGCCAGCGACGTCACTACTCATGGGGGGCCCGTTCCTGCAGATCGATTATAAAGGGGTGGAGCTCCGGCGCCCCCTTTCCTCCAGTGCACAAGCGTTGCGTGAAAGTGCGTTTTTACCCACCAAACAACATGCTTCAGCTTCACAAAAAGGAACGCCATTGTCACACTGAGTTAAATTTTGTTTTGTGACTTTTCTGTCAGAATTTGCCTCCTTTTATTCATGCAGTCAGGACATATTAATATTAATGAGGGGCGTTTCACTGACCATTTATAGGTATCAATGGGCGTTTAAAGGGTCCCTCACATGCGCCACATTTCAAGTTGATTGTGATTTATAAAGGGAACTTGCTTACAAGTGTGCGTACGCACGGTTTTATAAATGAGACCCCAGGCCTGTGTCTGCGTGATCTGTAAGAATAATGTAAATTAGCCACCTTTAGTGCCCATAGTACCTCCAAAGTTAGTAGGCTACTTCATTCTATACAGCATCTGTCATTGATTGAAGACTTCTCTATTTTATAGGCTGTTTACTGGCATTGGCATTGGCATTAGTCCCGCGTGTGACTGGCATAAGACAAAAAGGCAGGAAAATAAACAACACAAGAGCACATGGCACGGTGCTGTGGCACAAGAAAATTGTAGTATTTGAATAAATTCTGCATGGTCACATACTTTTAGACTATTATCATTACAGTGTTTCAATGTATCCCGGCTCTGGCTATATCTAGAGAGGCGCCTTAAAAATTTTGTTCTTTTGGCAGTTCTGCGCCCTGTGCGCATCGCGTTTTGCCCACCTGCTGCGCCTTGCGTTTTTCAATGAGCGCCTTGAGCATCCAATCTAATGAATGGAGAGACGGCCCTCAGTTGTGCTGACGGAAGTTTACAGTTACTTGGATTGTCCGGACTCTCCCCGACTCATCCTAAAATAAGCCTTGAACCGACCATCATTAAGACGAAGCTCCTGGACCAGCTGGTGGTAGCCTACTACCAGCGGTGTCTCCCCTTTCTGAGGGTCTCATGTGCCCACATGTGTTTTGTCTTCTGCGTATTTTAACATCTCACACTCAAAACAGTGCCAGAGCAGGCACTATTATCTTCTTCTTTTTTTATTTTTATTATTAGAAGACGCAACACGTAACAGGTGATCACTATATGATCACCATAGGTATCACTATTATCTTCTGTCTCACTGCTTCAGCTCCTGACGCATCTTTGTCACTGTTTTTGTAACATTGTAACAAGCTGCACAAGCAGCCACAGAGCGACCTGACAGTAATATTCCAAAGAGTTTGGTTTAGATTAGTTTGCTCTATCTGAAAAGTACAATTAGATCTATTCTGTTATAAATGAGCGCTTTATAAAAATAAATAAAAAACACAAACTGACGGCTTTTGATTTAGCTTGTTCGTAACTATTCTATATTAGCTTAACAAGTTGTAATAACAACTACGGACAAAGCAGTTGGAAACATCACTCTTCTACTTTTACCCTTCAGTTCACCTGCTTCACTGTCTCCACTACGGCAGAGGAGGGGACCGAGCAGCATGACTACGTATTAACGTTGGTCACATTTTCAGGTTGGAAAATCTGGAAAAATCACACCCCTGATAAGAGTTATTAAACTCATTTCCATTACTTTTACAAAACTTTTGGGATAAAAAATTTTTTCCCCCCAAAACATTTTCCAATTCCATGAAATTTCCAGGTTTTTCATGACCGTACAAACCCTGTTCACTACAGTGCCTGAAAACAGAAACATGGTGCAATGTGGTTTTCGCTTTTTACACTAATTCCAGCATTGTCTGTGTTTGTGTGTTGACCTGGCATAGCAGATTGCGGAGACAGGCGACTTCCTTCTGCAGATCTTTAGTCTGGACCACTACCTGGTTGCAGATGGCCTGGGCCTCCTTCTTCTGTTCCAATGAGAAGACCAGCTACAGAGAAAGACACCAAGTAGTAGATTATAAATCTGGCTGTATGGCAGATGAGACAGAGGACGCACTCATAAAGGCACCTGCACTCTACTAGACAGTGCCCAGTGTGCAGGCATAAATTTGCCCAAAAATATGTAGGTGAAGGTAGTTTATTTCATTAGTTATGCTTTTTTGTAGTTTACTGGTTTACCCACTTCTAAAATTACTACTGTTGTGCCACTTGAAACAGCGACAACTTTTTTTTATCAGCATTAGAAGCTCCTTCATTTAGAAATATATTTCCAGAATTCATAATGAGGAATTTTATATAGTTTAACACATGAATTGCACCACAAGTGCTTCTGTTACCAAAATGTCAGCAAGCTAGCATGTACCATGCAACCAGTGCATCAGTATCTAACTAGGAACCCCTAAATGAGTGCACCACTAGACGACACATACCTTATAGGCTTGGCCGGGAAAACGGCTGACGACATCCTGAATTGTCTCTGTCAGGTAACAACAATGCTGCCTTACTCTTATCAAGAAGTTATGCAGCTCCTCACTCCTGCAAAACATGAGCAACTTATTCATAAAAAATTTAATTCACATATATATGAATTACTCATTTGTTTCCCTTTTTGCATGTTTTTGAAACAAAATATTTGCACACAATTTTCATTTATCATGTACTCATCATATATTCATCAAATACTGTATGTAAATGTACATTGTAGCCCTGAAAGTATTAGTCAATTAATCACTTCAACAGAAAATGATTCAACCATTTTATATAATTGTAAACCGAGTATCTGTGGGTGTTAGACTGATGGTCTAAACAAGTAATCTGAAGGTGTCACCTTTGGCTCTGGGAACTTCTGAGAGCATTTTTCACAATTTCCTGACATCTTATACTAAACAATTGATAGATTAATTATAAAAATAACTAACAATGAATATAATCATTAGTTGCAGCACTACACTGCAATGACTACAGTAATTATCTCAGTCTACATCAAACACTATAATTTGTATAACTGAATAAGGGTGATAAGGTACAAATATGATGCGTTTCTCATCTGACAAGTCATGCAAGCTTTTTAGGCACAGATAATGCTGTGGAGATTTAAAGCTGAGGGTAGCTGGTTTACCTTCTTACAAAGTGAGCCATAGGAAGATGTCCACACAAAAACCAAGAAAAAAATAACAAGGCAAGGCCTGCTGAAGATGCTCAGCAATGACAGGGCAGACAGATTGATAGTTTGGTCCAAACTTTGTGTTAACATTCTCCATGCATGTTCCTGGAGACCACCTCACCAAACTCTATAGAAAACTGAGCAGGTGGCCAAGCCTACTCCCCACCTCCTCCCCATGCTAACCCATGCTGTCATCCCTCCCTGAAAACATCCACATTAAATGATTAGTAATTTATATTCATCAACCTCTCCTTCCCCATCTTCCCATCCGCTGGTCCTGCGGGATATTGATAGCTCTTATCTTAATGGTACATTTCCCTTAGTGAGGGGACTGGGCAGCCAGCCGTCCCGGCCCTCCTCACACTCTGTCAGAGGGGCAAGTAAACACTGTCAGTCAGCCTGCGCTGCACCTTCACCTCCCTTCTCCTGGCTGTTAGTTTATCTAGGGAACAGAGTGATGATGGGCCCCAAGTGGGAAGATCGTCGAAGGGATTGCAGATGGAAAGGAGGCTGTGTTATGTGGGAATGCTGATAGAGGATGCATGTGTGCCATTTTGTTGTGAACTTTATTTATTTAAGTCAGTTGGGCATAGCACCTTTTTCTAGCATCACCTAGCAGGTGCTTTGTCCAGTAGTAGCTGCTGAGAGGAAAGTGATACAAATTTACTTTCACTGCACACATTTTCCCAGACAGATTCAGATCAGCAATACATGCCACTTCTCCAACATCCATTGGAGGTGGCACTGTGTGGTAAGGTCCTGGCAGTGACAGGCAAGCCAAGGACGGTGTAACTTTTGCCTTTACTGAGGATAGAACAGCTGAAGATAGGCAGGAAATGCAGGAGAGAGAGAGAGGAAAAAATAGAGGAAGACATGCAGCAAACGAGGCGGTAAGGACTAATAGCCCTGGTACATAGTGCACATGCTCTACCGAGTGAGCTAAGCGACGCCCCCATTGCTACATTTCTTGGCAGATTTCTTGGCACCAACTGTCGATCACGTGAAACCATCTGCGGGACTGTTTCACATCACCGAAGGAGTTTCCAAAGCCAGGTAGGATATATAATCCATCCAGCATGTTCTTGTCTGCCCAGGGGTCTCTGCACTGTTGGATGTGCAAAGAATAACACCATGGAGGAGCTGACCTATCGCAACCGCTTCACACTCAGCTACACAGCACCATATTACATGCTTGAAGTCACAGTCAAATTAAGCCAGAAAAACTGGCTGATGTACCTGGAGATTTTGCAAATGAAAGTCAGAGAACAGAATCATGACAAAGTAATGCCTCACACATTACAAACACACATAACAAACTCAGTGGACTGGATATCCCATCCCCATCTGTCACTCATTTGGCAGTGTTCTCCACATGGTATTGCAGAGGCTCAACAACATCCAGTGTCTTAATTCAATCAGAGTGAATTTCATCCACCACCGGGGCTCTTTGCCTCTGCATTGATTTTTCACTACCTCAGTGACCTGTGCCAGAGAGATGGGCAAACATTTAACACTGGCTCTGCCACAGAAGGCCTGTCAGTTGGATTCAGGAGCTCCTTTCAGTGCTCCTTCCACTGCACACAATATATAGTCTCAGCCTTCTGAGTTTTCTGATGGTTTGCCAGTTTGTCTTTGAAGACAACAAGAAGTCATTCTTAATGCCCTCCCAAACACACCTAGGTTTTTGCTTTTACAAACTCAGTAACTGTATTCATTTTGGTCTTCAATTACATGTCAGATGTTTCAGAAATCTGGATAACCAAGCCCAAAAGGCTATTTCTTTAGCTTCACCACTGGGCTCTTGGGTCCCTCTTATATCCCTCTCATTAACCTTCCCCTCTCTCTATTGGACTGTCTCTCATCCGGCAAGCAGCTAGCGAGCCCAGTTTTGCAGAGGATTCATGAAGTGATGGGGTGCGGTGCGATGGCTTTGTTTGGCCCCTGCCATTGGCTCTCCTTTGCTCATTGCAACCTCCCATCGCCTCTCACCTTACAAATCATTACAGCTCCGCTTAAACCATTAGGACCTGGCTCAGGATTAATCTACGGAGATGGGGGGAGGGGGGTATGTAGCTGGGACAATGAGATGCTCATGGGGATGATGGATGACTTCCAGTGGAGGAGGACAGACGGGGCATTACGGGGAGATGGAGGAGGGCTGGAAATGGGGGAGGGTTTAAGGTGTGTGGCTGACAAGTGTTTAAATTTTTGCTACTACAGTCAACTTTGTTTCTGGCTTTGTGCAGTGTTTGTGGAATACTTTTTTTTGGAACTGACAGTTTATCAGATATTTTTAATAGACTAAAACAAAGATTTTCAAATACTGTAAAGATTCTCAAAACACCTTTTGACAAGTTTTCTGTCAGACACCACAATCTACAATGTTTTTGTAATGTTTGAAATGTACTATAGATAGCAAAGTGCAGAGAATAAAGCCTCTGATCAGATTATTAGTCATTCTGATCTCATACTGCCTTCCTGAAAAGTAAAGTAATGCTCAAACGAACTCTCAGTTTTCCCTTGAAAGCTCTGAGAATGGTCCAAAAGCCCTTCATTTGGGATACTCTTCTGCTGAGTACAAGTGTTGATTGCTACAGGCCTGCTAGGCATTAAGATGTGGTACCCTACCCAATGTCTGTGGCTCCCAGCTGGCTGAGTGTGTCTAGGTCCACTTTGTCCAGGTGCATCTGCTTCACAGCACTCAGCACCTTCTGCTGGTCCACCGGGTCTGTGATACCAATCTGACAAATAGAACAAAACTATTTGTCTTTGTTGATTCAAATCTCTTGTTACAGTTGTGCTCATAAGTTTGCATACCCTGGCAGAATCTTTTTAATTTTGGCATTCATTTTGAAAATGACTCATCATGCAAAATGAGTGATTATATGAAGACATATCTTTTTACATAGTTGTTTGGCTGCTTTTTAAACAATAATGATAACAGAAATAACCCAAATGGCCTGATCAAAAGTTGAATGTTTGGCCTTGTTACGAACACACATACAGGTGAAAATGGCAATTGAAGGTTATTTCCCACACCTGTGGTTTTGTAAATTGCAATTAGTTTATGTGTATAAATAGTCCATGAGTTTGTGAGCTCTCACGTGGATGCACTGAGCAGGCTAGATACTGAGCCATGGGGAGCAAAAAAAGAACGTCATAAGACCTGCGTAACAAGGTACTGAACCTTTATAAAGATGGAAAAGGAAATAAAAAGATATCCAAAGCCTTACAAATGCCAGTAAGTACTGTTCAATCACTTATTAAGAAGTGGAAAATTCTTGGATCTCTCGATACCAAGCCAAGGTCAGGTTGACCAAGAAAGATTTCAGCCAAAACTGCAAGAAGAATTGTTCGGGATACAAAGAAGAACCCACAGGTAACGTCAGGAGAAATACAGGCTGCTCTGGAAAAAGATGGTGTGGTTGTTGCAAGGAGCACAATACGATGGTACTTGAAACAAAAATGAGCTGCATGGTCGAGTTCCCAGAAAGAAGCCTTTACTGAGCCAATGACACAGGAAAGTTACAATATGCCCGAAAACACCTTGACACGCCTCACAGCTTCTGGGACACTGTAATATGGAGTGACGAGACCAAAATAGAGCTTTATGGTCACAACCATAAGCACTATGTTTGGAGAGGGGTCACTGAGGCCTATAGTGAACAGAATACCGTCCCCACTGTGAAGCATGGTGGTGGCTCACTGATGTTTTGGGGGTGTGTGAGCTCTAAAGGCACAGGGAATCCTGATGAAAATTGATGGCAAGATGAAAGCAGCATGTTATCTGAAAATACTGGCAGGCAATTTGCATTATTCTGCACGCTCTTGGACTTTCCAGCAAGATAATGACCCTAAGCATAAGGCCAAGCTGACCCTCCAGTGGTTACAGCAGAAAAAGGTGAAGGTTCTGGAGGGGCCATCACAGTCTCCTGACCTTAATGTCATCGAGCCACTCTGGAGAGATCTCAGACGTACGGTTCATGCAAGACGACCAAAGACTTTGCATGAACTGGAGGCATTTTGCCAAGATGAATGGGCAGCTATACCACCTGCAAGAATTCAGGGCCTCATAGACAACTATTACAAAAGACAACACGCTGTCGTTGATGCTAAAGGTGGCAATACACAGTATTAAGAACTAAGTGTATGTAGACTTTTGAACAGGGGTCGGTTCATTTTTTTCTTTGTCGCCATGTTTTGTTTTATGACCTACAGTTCAATGTGAATCCCATAAGAGATAAAAGACATGTGTTTTTCCTGCTCACTCATGTTTTCTTTACACATGGTACATATTACCAATTCTTCATGGGTATATACACTTTTGAGCACAACTGTATATGAAAAATCATCAACCTGTGATTACGTGACACATATTCATTTCTCAGCTCCCCCGAAGCTATATAATCCTTTTGGGGCCGGTGCAATTCATCAACGTAATCGATTACGTAAATACGTCAACTCGCATTACGTGCGTCGAAGCGCCGCTGCATCCGGTGTTAGCAGGGATTCCCCCGAAAAAAAGCTCCAGCTACAAGACCGCACCTTCGACCGTCTAAAGTTTGAGAGTATTTCAGGCTCAACAACGTGTTGCTCCGTGAGCTCTGTGAATTGGAAATAGCTTCAACGTAGCACAACTGCTGTCCACGAACACGTGAAGCAGCATGAACACGAGAGTGAGAAAACAGCTGAAACTAACATTACAATCTATGACTGACTGTATAGTCTGTGAATCGTTTCAGATGTTTTCTTTGCCCCACGCTGATGCAGAAATACATTTGCCGGTGATTATCATACTGCATTACTCAATACATCCATGTCAGAAACATTAAAAGTTTTAATTAATATAGCCCAATTAACGTGTGTTATTGTTATTATCACAACATATCAGTGGCGTGGAAATCTAATGTGCTTCATCAGGTGATTGTTATGTACAGCGCTAAATCCTTTATTGAGTTCGAAGGTAAACTTAAGTCGTTTCTATCACTGCTCCGCTTCATGACATGAAGTATTCTTGATGTACAGGTGTAATTTATTTTGTCTGTAATTCACTATGATGTAAGTTCTGTCTGTTAAATGTGACATGCCTTTGTAATAATTACCAAAAGTTTATTTATTTACCTCTAATATCAGATCTGACGTTTATCCAAGTTTACAGATATATAGTTAACTGAAAGAATACAATGCCAAAAGAGGGTATGTGTTTAATCTCTCACAGCCTTATTTCTACTGAACTTTTGCGACATCAGCAGCTACCATTATCTCTTTCTGTGTCACCCTGAAGGTGATCAGCGAGCAAAAGAGCTGACAGACAAACAGATGTTACAGTCATCCTCTACCTTCTCCAAGTCCTCTTTCTCCATGGTCGACAGGTAGCTCCAGGTGATATCATGTTCCTGTGCATGTGTGTATGTGAAAAACAGATTAAGAAAAAGCAAACATCACTCAGCATTTACCAAATCAAAACTTATATAGCTGCTCCTGACCCCACCACCTGAAACAGATGTACCTGCATGAGGCTTTGCCATTCAGTGACAATCTACCTGCACCCATCAAACCCACTCCTCTATATATCAGACAGAGCCTAAACCTTTAGTTGACCCTCGGTTTAATTCGGGCCAAGCAAATCCAGCACAATAGATCCATTATTAAACACCAAGTAAAATATGTAAACTAGTCATGTTATGACATGTTCCCAGGCACATAAATGTCATTCTGTCAATAATGCAGCTGTGCTCAACACATTTGGGATTACCGTATCTCAACCACAGATTTAATACTGCATTGTACTGTTTGTAACAGCATGTTATCTCTGCTGACTATCTTGGCATCAGTGAGATAAGAGAACATAAATATCTCACATAAAAAAAAAAAAAAAAGGCACTGTGCATTCAAAAATATACATATGAGAAAAAGAATTCCAGCATTTAATCGGTACTTACAGTCATGATGTCAGTGAGGTAGCCAAGATCAAGGCCGTGTAGGAGGAGCTCAAGGTCATCAAGCTTGGTTACTCTGAGGATGGCAGAGAGTTCACCTTGACTTTTAAAGGACTACTGATTTATTTCACAGTATTAACCAAAGCATCAACCAGCCTGGGAATGGAATCACACTAAAACTTTACGAATAAAGACTTCCTAAGTAGTTAATGTTTGTAAAAATATTAATTTGTGCTGCGCTGAGCAACAGCATATTGTCAACAGAGGTCATCATTTATGTGTAAGGCTTGGAATAAGCAGACCAAATCGCACCTTTGACCCTACAGAAGTGGTCGGCAAGAAGTAACATCTTTTTCTCTTTTGGGTATCAAGTGGGTGCAACCAAGGTGTCACCGAGTTCAGACAGATCAGAGTAACCGCAGTGTGCAGGCAGCTTCAATTTGGCTGTTGACAAGATAAGCTTTACAAACGAGCCTCTCGTTCTCACAATGTTCAAAATATGTGAAATGCGTTACATGGGTTTTTAATGTTTTTGTATCCTGACACGAGAGAAAAGACGGCTAAATCTAAATCGTTTACATGCTGTTTTTCCTGGTGCCAGACATGCTCAAATAAAATGTTTTTAGCTGATGATAACTTCCCGGCGGTGCCTGAAAAGACTAAACATTCAAAAAGTTTATTATTGTTTATGTCTGGTTGAACAATGGTTCAACAACACCTGCTGCACAGGCACTGGTTCACAGAAAACCCAACAGGGGGCAACAAGCACACAGGCTGCAGTGATTGGTGAGATGCTACTTTGACAACAGAAGAAAAAACATTTGTATTGTAGGAATTCATTTATGTGTTACAATTTACTTTTCATTTAGGAGCACATGAGCACACAAAGAAACTTAGGAGCACAGTGAAAAATGTTCAAGTAACACAGAGTTTAACAAACTATTCATTATATACATATTTATGTGTGTGCTCCTTCTCCTTGTGTTCAACTATGGTGTGAAACCATTGAGGACTGAAAGTGAAGTCCCTTGTATCTGTACACTCGGCATTGGCCTTAAAATATTGTCAAAGCGTTTTAAAATATTGAAACAGAGGTTTTGAAAATTTGACATTCAAAACAGCTTTTAAAACACTGATCACTCATCACAAAAAGACTTTACTGTGATTGGTGCTTGTGTAGTTTTTGAACCAGGGACAGATTCACTATATACACCAGCAGCACCCACACAACCCACACCTAATGTAAACAAGACAACTGAACAGTATTACAATAACGTTAGTAAAACAGAACAAGGGGAACATGTTGCTCGCAGGAGGCGGGTAGAAGGATCACATACTGGCATCCTGTGCAGTGGAAATCTGCATCTTTCCACTGAACAGGCTCTTTCACACAACATGTATTAGTATTTATATTATTATAATATAAAGATATTAGATTAAATTTTAATCTAACAGTATACTGTTAGTGTGTTAATAATGATTTAATTTTACTATATGCATCGTCATTTTATGTAATAGTACACTATATAGCTCACCACTAGTCTAATATTAATTCCAGTTTGGCAAAACAGCAGTTTCATTTTCATGCATTAAATCCTGTCATTGGTCAGTTGACGAAAAGTGAAATTGACGAGCTCATCGATTTTCTCTCATTTGATTGACACCAGCTTGGCGTCGCATCCTGCCCGCTACTCGGGGAGGGGTGTTTTGAACGATTAGCGGCGCGGCATGGCGGGATTATGGTAGGTTGTAGTTACAGTACTCATTGCGTTCGTAAATAATGTTTCCGGTTTGCACGTAAGGATTTTTAAGGGCATATGCGAGCGAATGGTGGCACTGTAGAGCCCTCAGTGTGCATGTTAACATAGTGTATGTCAAACCTGCATAAGCACTAAAAGGAGTTGAATACAAATCTCAGATCATCTCACTTTTCCTTGGAAGGTGGCGGTTCAGAGTTAGTTTTGAAGAACTTTGCAAGGGTCTCTTCCATGGAGCTGAAGGTCTCGACAGTCGAGGCGTGGGATGAAGAGGCCAGAATTCTGCTTATCTGCAAACAGACATTGGTGTGAAGATACTGTGCTGTACTGTGGTACATCATGCTTCTGTCACTAACCTCACAATGGGTTCATGCAACACAAAAACTCTCTTAAATTACCATAACATTTACATTTATTCAGGAGCAACGTGGGGTTAAGTGTCTTGCTCAGGGACACATTAGTGGATGTGTCACAGTGAGGATTGAATCCAGGCCTCTCACACCAAAGGCATGTGTCTTATCCACTGCTGCATCATCAACCAATCTCAAATAAAGTAAGACCCATTTTTCATTAGTTTTATGCAGATTTATTGGACTATTTCCATGTTTTAACTTGACACTGATAAGTTTAGTCTTTTTACTGAATACATTACATCAAAAATACCAAACTGCAGATGTAGTTTCTGAAAGGCATCATAAAAGAACTTCAGGTACCTGTGAGTGTTTGAAGATCACAGCCAGTTCGGCAGGGCTCTTGCCAGCCTTGGTCTTTATGGTTTTGTTTGCCCCCAGCTGGAGGAGCTTCAGCACTGCCTCCTCTCTGCCATACTGCACTGCTATAGACAAAGCCTAACAGAAAATATTAGTGTTACTTATCATACGCAAAGTCTAAGGTTATCTAAATTAAATGTATCCAACAAATGACACTTTGTGACGTCCATGCGTATGTGTGATCTACATATTCCAACTGAAGCGACTTGACAAAAAAAAAAAAGTGAAACACCGTGTATCCATTGTCATCCTGGAAATCGATTTCTGCCCCATGGGAAACCAGCAGGTTGATGATTTTACTGTAACCGTTCCTGGCTGCCTGCATCAGGCAGGTCATGTGAGACCTGAAAAAGACAAGCAACAAAAAAGCAGAGATGGGAATAAAAACAAAACCAGGAACAGATGACGGGTAACTATTGCAAAAGGGAAGAAGTTAATAAGCAAAGGATGGTTTGAGGCCGATTGAAGAGAGCGGAGAATGAGAAGTGGGAAGAGTACAGACAAGATAAAATGTAGACCTCAGGTACCAGAGTAAAAAACGAGGACTAGAAAAATGCTTGAAAGAAATAAGTAAAAAAGGTAACCAAAGAAATTAATGGTGAGGTGAGGACTTGGGGGAGATGGACGACAAGGAAAGTACAGAGAAACCACCAGGTGGCAGCAAACACTACATTATAAGTAGCCATTCACTTTGATACCCAGTAGACAAAAACACTGATTCATTCACCATTTCAACGGACAGGCAAAAATACAAAAGGTGTAAACCTAATGCACTCACACATTTCAAATCTTCCTGCTAAAGGAATATTCACTAACTAATAGTGATTAATTCTAAGAGCTGCGCTGGCTAGTTTGGTAGCAAGTCATCATCTTCTGGAAGTCTCAATACAATTTATAACTAAATGATTGTCCATTGTGGGGATTTTTTTGCTTTTACTTGGATTATGTCAGAGTAAGCCAAATATCTTTGGGTTTTGGACTGAAGGTTGGACAAAACACACAATTTATTGACACTGCCATGAACTTAAGGAAACTGATCTATTTTCTGACCAATTGAATCGATAACAAAAATTAATCGTTAGCTGCCGCCCTAGAAGACAACTTGCATTCATGGCATTTACAATGGATGGACATATAGAGACCCACAGTCTATAGAAACTTCTCAAACCATTCCAGTTGTTCATTTGTATATTTATTATCTTCCAAACACTTCTTTCATAACAGATCTCAATAAAGTAATTCTGAGTTGCTTCGGCATCTCCTTGTACTGTAGCTACAAAGCTCAGGCAGAAGCAGTTCATTTATCTATTAATTTGCAAAGCGACAATTGTCTGGAACATAGTGATAAATAGAGGGGAGGTGGATTATGCTACATGAGTAATTTGAATAGTTTATGTGGCTATTTTGTTTTTTCTGCCTTGACTGGTGTCTAAAAACTGCAGAGACATGTTTTAAGTCTAAAGAGGGAGACAATTTGATAACTACATTTCCATTGCAGTCTTCCTTTAAACACAACTATAACGATGTGTGCAGGGTAATCCACTGTAGTAGTTACAGAGCATCCTGAAACCGCACACAAAAACACTGGTTAAAGGGGTCCTTCAACAGCCAAAAACTGTTAAATGGACGACTTGGTTTTAACAACTTTGACCTTTCTTACCAATTAGTCATTCCTCTGTTGCCTTCATGTGTTTGCTTCTATCTGAACAAGGCCTGTATATCAATAACCTCTGCCACAATACTTCTAGTGTATCTTATCACTTCTGACTCACAGCAGGTGAGAAAAATACATCCATCTAAAGGTTGGTTCAGTCCAGGGGCAATTTATCACTTGGCTGAAACTAAGAGCAACACAGCAAGAATGAAAGAAGGGGCAATCAATAACTCATTTGTAAACAAAGGGTAGTCCAACAAAACATAGGATAGGGATGCGTTACAGAGCATTCACTATCAGCTTGATTGACAGGTCTTTTAATACAGTAAAAGGTTAATTTACAGCAAAACATTTAGTAAACATTAGAAGAAAACGTCGCTATGTTTTTTCCCAGTTGAGACACGCAAAATGCTGATTTTTCAAAACTCAAATTATGTATATAATATTATAAAAACATGACAGCATTGATATGATACAGTGCACTTTGTAGATATTAAATTAAAAAGCATTTCAGATAACCAGAAGATGATGTCTGTACTAATCCAGTGAACTGAATCCCCAATAAAACTTGATACTTAAAATGCAAAAATGTTTTAAATCCATAAAGCAGTCTATTTGTTGATATCCAACATTTCCAGTACAATCCCTAATAAATAATAAATAATAATAAATTTTAGCGTTTTGCTTAGTCACTCTGAGTTGAAATGTCCTGGTCTTGTCTGTGGTAATATGTTGATATGAAATGTTGACTTTTGTACTAATAAATTATCTTAATCTTATCTTAAATATGCTCCTAGATAAAGGTGATTTCAAACTAGTGTGAACATTGTTGGGTTTTGAACACCATATAAGCCGTACATACAGCCATATCATCCTCTAATAAATTCCAACAAATCAAAAGTTAATGTTCTACGGGATTCAAACAAAAGAATCGATGGCTGTGACGTGTATGACAATTTCTTTGGATATAGAGCGTTATTTATTTCTGCTTTCATGTCCTGTGCCACTGTATTTTCCCAAGGGTGTTTTTAATGTTAGATAGGTACCAAGGTTACTCACATACTGTTTCAGTGTTTTGTGTGTCCTTCAGACTGTGAGATTTGGCCAGTCTCCAAATAGACAGCTGATTGATACGCAGACAATTCAGAATAAACATCAATCCTGGCATCAGGACAGCAAGAAGAATGACTTCCAGAAACACCTGACTCACAGCTCCAAGACAAACACACCAATCTAAAAATGGCTTCCACAAAGTAAATCCTGAAATATGTTAAAAATCCCAAGGACTACATTTATATGCAAGCTTGGAAAGATGTCTTGCAAAATGTGTGGTTACGCATTTTTGTATTGTTTAGAAAGCAAAGTTTTTGCTTTCGGTCAAGTCAAGTCTTTAGGGATTCTAATCTCAAGTACGTTAAGTCTCACATCACCAAGTCAAGTCCTCATTTTTGTGAAATTTAGTCAGATTTCAAGTCTTAAGCTGCTTGCACACTGCCCCCCAACAAACGCCGACCGACTCCAACCAACACCAACTGTTGGATCAGTGTGCGGCGTCAGTCGGTGTCAGACGTATGGAGGCTTTAGAGTTTGACATGTCTAGTCGGGTTGGGTAGACTCGTAGACAATCGGACCGATGTGCGCCATTTTCCAAAAAAACGCAGCATTCTGACAGTGTTCCCTTGACAACTAAGCCTACTTGGAACGTTGAAAGGTGTCCATTACTCGCTCCTCCCTCTCTCATTGACAACGGACCCGTCTGTGAACAGCCCCTCCTCTTCATGCACCATCTGCCGAAAACTGATTTCCCTCCGCGAGAGCATCATGATAAAGCTATAACGCCCAGTATCTATAGCCTACACCTACAGCTGCTTTTATCTCAAACAGTCATAACGTGCAAATAAGCATCACTTTGTCTGTGGTAGCAAATATTTGTCTTTGTAAAACATTAATGTTTCTTGTAACGAAATTATCACAGCTGAAGTGTTTGCAGTTTATCAGGCCTGACAAAAAGTTATTATAAGCAATAAATTATACATAAATTAACCTATTGTTGCCGATGAAACCTGTGTTTGGTTGGTCTGTGTTTAATATCTTTGTTTAGGCTATATTTGGAAAATACACTGTAGTCTTTAACATGATTGACAGCTGGGTTAGGCTATAAATAAAATAAAAGGAAGTGTCTCTCTTGCAATTATCCATATGACATTATGTTTGCTTGCTCTGTGCCAACTAATCCAGTCCTTTTATAACCAGTTGAAATATGGAGTTTTGTAGTATTGCAGTTGCCGAAAAGACAGATTATAGTTTAATCAGTCCTTATTCCTAGTTGCAATACATTTAAATGGCCAATACAGCCCCTATAGCCTATGCAGTTTTGCACTTGCCAAAAAAGCGATTCAACCTCACTACTTGTGACTAAAAGGTTCTTAAAATTAACTGATTTTTAGACATGAGCATTATATTTGTGTTGTGGCTGACTATAGCTCACCCAGTCCTTTTAACCTGTTGAAATATCTTTTTAAAAAAGGGCCAATACAACCATTAACAGGTAGTGATAACGAATTGCAGTTGAAAAACTCCTGTGTGTTTTGGGAGGCTTTATAAAAATACTGCTGATGAAGAAAGTCAGGGGAGCAGACAGGCAGAGAGAGACAGAGAGGCAGGGCAAGCCGGTTTGTTTGTAGTGAGAGACCAGAGAGACCACAGGTGTAGGTGTGTAAACCTATACACAAAATCTGTACAAGTAGAAAAGTCATGCAACTGTCTCAGTCTGGAGAAGCATGTTCCAGGTTTAATGCAACAGTGACACCTTTTTAAACCAGGATTTTATGTCTACAACTAACAATTATTTTCACAAAAAATTGACAAGAAATTGTGAAAAATGCTCATCAAAATTTTCCAACACACAAAGTGACGTGTTCAATTTGCTTCTTTTGTCCAACCAACAGTCCACAACCCAAAGACTCTTCATTTACTGTCATAAATGAATAAAAACAGCAGCAATTCCTTACATTTAAGATGAAACCAGCACAAGTCTGAAGCCATGCCACTTGGGAGTCTTAATGCGATACCAGCTGCCTTACCTGCCTTCCCCTTTAAGTGGTCTCTGGCAGGTTTTGTATCTTTAGGCATATTCATAACCTCAACAATTGGGCAAATGAATATACTACCTCGATTGTTGTACCCTGCTGAAACGTTTCCAATCATATTTTCAAATAGGGTGATGAAGGATTTGAATGGCTGGCTAAGCTCCTTCATATGGAACAAGCGCAGACCAAAATTTAAGATGGCTACATTGCAGCTTCCAAGTTCTGTAGGGGGTCTAGATTTACCAAATGTTAGAATATATCAGCTGTGTACTCACATGAGGTATATTTATGACTGGGTCGTAAACATCCCAAATTGTATTTGAGTGGGAGTTGAGGCTTCCCTTTCAAAGTGCCCGCTAAGGGACTTATTATTTTTTAAGAAACTTAAAAATGTCAGACTGAGTTGTAATAATCCAATTACGCTCAATACACTTAGGGCCTGGCAATTGGTTTGTCGACTTGAGGGAAGGTCAAAGTCCACATCTATTTTCACCCCTATTGTGAATAGTCCTGATTTCCAGCCTGGATGTTTGATATTGGTTTTAAACGGTGGGGGGATAATGGTGTTCATAGACTGAGGGACTTGCTCTCAGATAATGTG